CCCCCCCCGGCGCATCAATGACTCGAACTGCGATCGCTTCTCATCAACCATCTCTCACCTATCGGACCTGCAAAGTCTCTTGGAGTGCCCCACCTTCCCGCAGGAATGCGCTCGGAGATTTGCCTCTCCCTGACAGGATCCTGTTGCAGCTTCTCCGTCTGCAGAGCAAGTGCAAGTGCAAGTGCAAGTGCAAGTGCGATTGCGAATTGCTGGGGCAAAATGAGCCAGGGCGCGAGCGCGCGTGCACGTGCACGTGACTTGCCGATCGGCACGTGTCACACCTCTCACCATGTCAGTGGAAATGTATCCTGGACTGCAGCGGTCAGCAGGAGCGTTGTCAGTCGAGATGCGGGGTGGGGATTGATGAAACGTGCATGCTTCGCGGGCACACTCACGCGATAGCATTCACCTGAATACTGTGCTTTGCCCACTCGTTCGATAGCGCCTTCGTAAGTTGTCCCACTGCTCCCTGTCGTGCGGGAGAGAGCGAAGGGTAGGAGCGCATACATGGGGGTGGGCCGGCTACTCGAGGAGCAAAGGTCTCACCTTGGAAGAAGCGTACGCTGGAATCTATTTTGATGATTGGCCTCTCCGTGAGCAGAGACACCCTTGCTGCCAATTCTCCAAGCGCCACCGCCACTCACGCAGATACCGCCTTGAAATGTGAGCAGCGAGCCAAAGTTGATGATTTTGCCGCCACCTGGGCGAGACAGAAAGTGCTTTCCAGCTTGTTGACTGAGGAGCCACACCGTCTTGAGGTTGACATTGATGACCTGCCAGAGCAGAGCAGGGCTTTGCACGCACTGAGCAAGACACGCGCCCGTCGCACTCGCTACCGCCACCGCCACCGCCACCGCCACCGCCACCGCCACCCGCTCACCTCGTCCCACTGCTCCTCTGCAAAGTCGACGGCTTCATTTCGTCTCTGGATGCCTCCCACATTGACCAGAATATCCACCTTTCCTCGCACTTCATCCTTCTTGAGCGCCGCTTCGAAGACGCCCTTGACGCTGTGCGAATCTGCCAGATCCGCATACACGATACAGTGTCTCTGACCTTGATCCGTGGGCAGATCGCGAAGCGCTTCGTGCTGCTGCTGCTGCTGCTGCTGCTGCGGCGAGTCCGAGTGCGAGTGCGAGTGCGTTCCGGTTGGCGAGTCTGCGTTGCTCGAGCTGGGCGGACGAAGGACGAGGCAGCAGCTGGCTCCGGCTTCCGCTAATGCCACGGCGCAACCTTTGCCGATGCCTCGCGTTGCACCCGTGAGGATGGCCTGCTTGCCCGCTAGCGAGAAGAGGGAGGTGGATGGAATGTCGGTGCGCGTAAGCGCGGCTGTAGGAGCAGAGGAGGAGCTCATCGTGGGGGTGGGAAGTGGCGGTGCCGTGGTGTGGTGGTGATGTGTGATGTGTGAGGGCAAGCGGTGAGCGATAGGCGTGATGTACGCTTGTGGTGCTTGTGGTGGTGCGGGCAGCGGGGAGCGATGGGCGCGGGGGGCTGCACTAAGCAAAGCGCGGATCGTGCCATGCTGGTGTACGTGTATGTATGCCGCTTCACACGGCGCGGTGGAGGCGACGTGCGCAGGCGCTAAATCACGCGGCAGCATGCAGCACGCGAGGATAGGATCTTCTCGGACGTCCGCGGATGCCTTGCGGGCGAGCTATGCGCGCGATGCCATGCAGCGTGCAGCGTGCAGCGTGCAGCGTAGGATGGCGGCAGGCTGGCAGCAGCTGTGTCCCCCATCCATCCGACGCCTCTCTTTCTCTCTCTCCGTCACGATGTCAGAGTGTGGAAGCCGAAGCGCCGCTCACAATCACGAATGAAGAATGACGAGTGGGACGCTGTCAACATCACTCGCAGGGCATCTGTTGCTCGAGATAACGTAAGCTTTCAGCATTGGCCGCACAGGTACGGTCCGCGGCGCTCGTCTGCTGCTCCACCACTGTGGCGGCGATGAGGCTGTTGGATTGGTTGGCCTGCCTGGCCTCGCAAGTCGATCTGAGCTCATCATCCATCTCATCGCGTCTCTTCGGTGGCGAAGAGGTGAGATTCGTGAGCTTTGCTGGCTTGCGTACTTGCGCCGAATGTTCGTTATGCCCCACCTGGCCAAGGTTGGCGCATCATCATCGTCATGCTGGGCATTGCCTTGCCTTGCCCTGCCCTGCGCTGCCCGTGCCCACACCATCGTCGCCACGCCACCGCGTTGCGAAGAGGAGGGCGCTGCATGCTAATCAGTGAATTGATCCATTCGTCGCCCATCGCACTCACGCCTCTCGACTCTTGCGTGAAGCATGAAGCAAGGCGGACGTGCGCAGCGCTCGCTCGACACACAAGTGGCGGGGCACACGTGGCAGGTGTGACGGTCAGCAGAGCCTCAAATGGGCAGCACACACTCTCACTTGAGCACAGCTCTCTCTGTGCGGACTGCGACGTGGGGACCTGGCATACCACGATTGCAGCAGTGGCAAAGCGCGGCACCAAAGCGCATGCCGCTACACGGTACACTTGCTCACGACTCAGACTGTTGGCAGGCGGACAGTTTAAGGTGCCGCGACGGTTGCTCTATCAAGTAGGCGTGCTGGGTAGCTTTGGTCGCCACCGCCCGTCTGCTGTCGCTGATCCATCCGCCGTTCAAACATGGCGTGGCATGGCGTGGCGCGGTGTGGTGTGGTGGCGAATGGCATGGAGCGCGCATTCGCATCCTCTTCATAGCAGTCGTAGCAATCGCAGTCGTAGTCCCCGTCTCCCTGCTCGGCTTCCCTTCTTTCCCCTCTTGACCTCATCTTCTACAGCATCTCATCCTGCCTCGCGCGACTTGCTGCTGGTCAGTCAAGCCAAGCCAAGCCAAGCCAAGCCAATCTGCACAGAGTCTTGTTTCCCCCCCTCCCACCTTCTCATCGCCTTTTTCCTGTCTGCTTTCCTTTCCTACGCCTCCTTCTTCCTCCAATGTGCAGGGCGGGATGCGTGGGGGATGAGGTTCTCGCGCTGCGCCGCGAGGACAAACCTCTTCGCGATGCGTGCACTTGCTGGTGGGCCAGTACGTGGCACGGCGTGCGCAAGCTCACTACTACGCTGCTGCTCGCCACCTTTGCGGCGTCTTGCTTGCCCCTCGCTCGTGCTGGGCCATCCAACTCTGTGAGTGGCCCTCAGCGCGCTTCTCTCACTTTGTTCGTCTGCTATCGTCCGCCTTGCTCATCACGTCTACCGTGCGGTAATGCACCTGCAAAAGAACAGACTGGCACGACGAACGCTAGTTGGTGCGAGTGATGTGGTGAGGAATGCCGTGGGCAACTTGTCTGGCGAGCAGCTCGAAAGCCTGTCGGGCGCGCGTAGGAGCGGCAGGCTCGCTCGAGCGACCAAATTGCACCTCTCGCAGATGGACAGTCCGGCTGCTGCTGCGGCTGCTGCTGCGGCTGCTGCTGCACCAAAGACGACGAGACGAAAACGAATCGCGATGAATCGGCTCTTGTCGATGGAGAGGACGCTGCCAAGAGAGGCGCGCTCGCCCTCGCGACACACAGCTACCGCCTCTTTGCCTCATTCAGCAATCGCCACTCACACTGCGGCCACGCGACATGCAGAGCCCTCCGTGCCCGCGTCAGCGCATCGTGACTACCAGCCACAAATGATGAGCATGATGAGAGGAGATGCCTCACATGCAGACATTCTTCGCCACAAGCCAGCAGCATTCTCCATCGCAGCTGCTTCGACCGCTTCGAAAGTGACTCCGCAAGAGACTTTTCGCGCTTCTGCTGCCATGCAACTTCAAGTCCCGCAGTCTTTCTCCAGAGGAGCGCGCGATTTTGCGGCCTTGGCGGGATCATCCACAGCGACGAGGACGCCAGGCTACTGGAAATGGCAAGGAAAGGTCAAGCGTCCGTACTTTGGCGTGCATAAGGACAAGACGGGCTACAACACCCTTCCGTCGCATCACCAGCTCATTCGCGGTGCGCAAGATGCAGCTGGCAGCTCGCGAAATGTGCACGACTCGCCGCGAGCCTCGCCATCGCCGCAGCAGCAGCAGCCGCACGATTCGGCTTCGTCACACTCGCTCGCTTCGTCTTGGGATTTGTCCGATCTCGACGATTGGACTAGTGTCTCTTCGCTGCACAAAAGGGCCAAAATGAAGTCACTCGAGCAGATTGCGCATCAGTTGAATCACGGGACTGCATCGCTCGGCAAGACTACGCCGCCGCTACTCGGTGGCAGTCTCAGTCGCAAGGCATCTCTGCTCAGCGACACGAAGACATCGGCCGATGACGCTAAAGCGGAATTTCAAGCGCTTGCACCATTGGTGCAAGAGCACATCGCAAAGGTCGGCGCGCAGCCGCACGACATTGTGCCAGGAACATTTCGCAACATGCGAGACATGTACAAGCGCAAGTATTCCGACTTTGGACCTGATACTTCTTTCAGCGTCGCGTCGCAACGACGATACCTGAAGCACATTGCAAGACCCGATCTCCTCGAGCTGTTTTCGCCCGACTTGCGACACAACAATCTTGGGCCCGTTCGCAAGCTCGCCTTTGGGGAAGGCAGTCGCAGCTCGCGCTGGAGGCAGCGCATAGAGCTGAAAGCTGGTGGCTACAATGCCGATGGGGTGCACGTCGTCGTGCCTTATCAAGGCAAGAACCACATACGAAAATCCTACACGCCTCGCGCAGATGGCGAAAACCAGCGTAGACTCATGCAGTCGCTGCAGAGAGAAGGCGACAACATTCGACGCTTTGGAATCGTTCAAGGCACTGCACGCAAGCTCTTCAAGGGTATGAAAACGGACATTGCCAAGGCGGAAGGTGTGCGCGTGGCTGCCAAGTCGACCGTCAAACATGTGGAGCTCAGCGCTACACGAGTGCGGCAAAAGGCAACTTCATCTGTCTCTGCAAGACCGGCGCCGGCTCTTGAAAGTCGCACCGGCACGCAGATCCAACGCGGCAAGGATCCGAAAGAGGAACCAAAGGCCAGACGTGCTCTCGCGGCATTGCCGCACCGTGGGCCCTCTGAGCAGGCTGAGCGTTCTTCTCTGCGACAATCGAACTCTGATCCGGATTACTCTCCCACAACGTCGCTCTCGCTGTCGCCTCCGAGATACCGGCGCGCGCCCAACCTATTCATGTCGGCTTCACGCGAAACGAGCCCTGATGCGGCGTCTGCTAGCTCGACCAAGTCGCAATACTCTACCATGTCAGATCTTGGCGCTCATGCGAGCGATGCGAGGTCTCACTTCAGCCTCGGCGCTCCCTCGCAAAGCCTTGCGGAATCGCATTTGGGACTGTCGGATGCTGCGGCTTGGAGCTGGGGTCGCAAGCGCAAAGCTCCTGCTGCCCCGAGTCCCGCGGTGTGGAACTGGGGACGCACACAGACGAAATACAGGGATGCTGGCACGCCATCCGATCTGCATGCAGCCGTTGAATCGCAAGTTCGGCGGGGATGGCTGTTTAAGCGCGCACTGACCGAAGAGATTGAACAAGGTGCCTCACACATCACCCCATCGTCGACGACGACTAGCTCCGCCACCTCGACACATGTATCGGGGCTTACTAACGTCAGCGCGTACAGCGATTTGCGGCACCTGGTCAACGATCCCTCAAGAAGACCCCCTGGCCCGATCCCATCGCGCGCCCCAAACGCCGTCCCGTGGGGTTCGGGCAACTGGCGCACGTTGGCACGCCAAAGAAGAGTGCTGCGAGATAGAAAACAGGAGGCGTGGATACCGTATCTCTGCCCTCGACCACCCTGCCATATGAACAGATATGACCCTGAACGGTCGCTTGGTCGCTTCGAGTCGGAGACGTACGTCGCAGGTGCGACTACGGAACCTCGACCGCCTGGTCCGGTGCCAACCCGTGGGCCCAACAAGCTTCCTTGGGGAGAGGGCGGTAGCAACGCCTTGTCAACGCAGCGAAGAGAGCTAATCCAACAGGGCAAAGCGTGCTGGATACCGCATCTCTGTCCTGTCCAAGCAAAAGGACGAAAAGGACTGCAAGGCGGCGCAATGATCACCCCCAAAATTAGTGCGGAGCACATTGCAGCAGCTACAGAGGGTCTGCAGCGCCCTTCAGGTCCCGTCCCGACACGAGGCTACATGAAAGATCCATGGGGTGTCGGCACACAAAGAAGCTTGACGGACCAGCGTCACGAGCTTCGCACCATGGGCAAGGCAGAGTGGATTCCTTTCCTTTGTCCGGATCGGGGCTGCAAGTACGCTGACAGACCCGTGGATGGACATTCCCTTCTGCAAGGTCTCGATCCACCTGCTGCGCCGAAAAGACCCGAGGGACCTGAGCCAGTGAGAAAGGGAGGCAGAAACAAATGGGGAGAAGGCGGTGATCGTTCACTGACGACGCAGCGCGCAGAATTGCGCGCAGCTGGCCAGGCCGACTGGATTCCATTCCTAGTTCCCAACAAGGAAAGGAAGCGCGATTACAGTCATGTACGGCCCAAGCTGGCTTTTGGGGAAGGTTCCGGTCCTGCAAAGACGTATCAACGCAACACGCTTCGAGCTGCAGGCTTTGGCCAGGACGACGTCTTTTTGATCGTACCTGGCAATCAAAACAAATCATTCCCACAGGGCAATAAGCGTCTCAATGAGCCCGGTGCCTCCGAAGCGACCCACAGAAGATGGAGTTGGCTTGAAGCGCAGAGCATACAAAAGCATGGTCTCGCTGAAGGAGCTCGGAGGAAGTTGTTTGCATCCCAGTCTTCAAGCTTGACTGACCGACAAAAAGGTCGAGGGAATGCAGAGGTCGCGGCTTCTGCGCCAACTCGCCCGCTTAGCATACCGAACACTTTTGTTGCACATGGTCCCGTAAAGCGACTGCGTTCAAGGCTGCACACCGTTCCAAGATACAAGAAATTGCCCGACGAGGAGAACAATGGCATGCAATTGCCCGACGAGGAGAACAATGGCATGCAAGGCGCCTCGCGTAGGGACGACGCGCGTCCTGCAGACACGTCAAAGACGCCAACGGCTTCGAGCGAGGGACAGCCAGCCAAGATCAGGTCGATGACATCTGTGTATGCCGACCTGCTCAAGTCACCATCTGACGCTGGCGAAGCTTCGCAAAAGATGCTGAAGCGTCAAAGACTTGACGGTAGAGATGTAGAGATGTCGCTCGGGGACGATGATCTTTTGCCTCGCCAAACGAGCTCTGCTTTGCGCAGTCCAAGTGCTCGCTCTCTCCCCATCACGAGAGACTTGCTAGCAGTGCGCGGACTAGCAGAGGAGCGGACATTTGCTCCGATACTAGAAGAAGAGGTGCAGACCATTTTGGCTCAAGCGCCTCCAGGTGTTCGCCCCAGCAAGCTTTCCACACAACGACAAAATGTCGGGGAAGCGCCGGCTGATTTGCCCGGTGGCTCTGGCTCACTGCGCGGTCCAGATCAGACGCAACTTGTGGAGCAGCAGGCCTCTGATTCGGTTGAACATGCACATGCACAGCAGAGACTAGGCCACCCTTTTGAAGCGCTGCCGCTGACACCAGAAGAGCAGCGCCGACTGGACGAAGCCTTGGGCACGCGCGTCGTGCGCGGACGACAATGGGGAGTAGGCGGAACGGCTACCTTAGCCAGGCAGCGCAGGTGGCTGCGTGCGCACGATCTGGAGGACCTCATCGTAAAGCTGTGTCCCGATCAAAGATGTTGGAACAAGAGACAGCCATTGCCTTTGGGACAGGGCTCTTCGGCCACTTTGAGCAGGCAGAGGAATAGACTTCGAAAGCAAGGCTTTGCTGCGCACCAAGTGTTCGAAATGGTACCTGGCGAGGCGAGCAAAAGCCACCCGGCGGCGGCGGCGGCGGCGGCGCAGCGGCCCGCTACTCCGCCCTCGCTGCCTGCTCGCATGCAGGGCATGGATCGCCGTCGTTGAAGGTGCGACAGTGACTCGCTGCCCAGCCTGAATCATGTATGATTTTGATCCCTCTTTTGATTTTTGAAGAGAGCAGCGCAGCTGCCTTGGAAGCTAGTGCAAGCGATGTTCGTCTGCAGCGTAGCGTAGCACAGAACATCACCACGCGCGCGTGTGTGCTGCATGCTTTGTTTCCCTCGTGTGCGCACGCTGCTCATCCGACTTGCTTGCAATGCAGCCTTTTAGTTCAAAGTCAATGGCATCCAGCACTCTTAGCGGTCCACCTGTCGTGTCTTGCTGCAGTAAAGCGCCCTTCTTCAGACCAGCTTTCACGCAAGAGCGGCACGCACGACGTTGATGTGCATGAGAGTGACAAGTGAAGCGTGAATGAAAGAGTGCAGCGGCAACAAGGAAGGTGTGGAGAGGGGCAAGAGATGGATGATGACGAAGGACGAAAGAGCGACCACGAGTGAGGCGACACAGCAAGAGAAGCTAAACATCTGTTGTGGGCGCGTTAGGCATGCTCGCGCTCCATACGAGTCGCGGAGTTAGGCCTACTCCATTCTGGGTCTTTTGCTCTTATCTCCACCCTTGATGACGGAGAGCAAAAAGTTTTTGAATCTCTCGCCATACTCTACAGGCGGAACGCTGGAGATCATGTGCTTGTTGTTCAGCAAGCTCTTCCAATAATGTTCTCCCCGCTTGACGCTATTGTACAGCGTCAGCGTATCGATCTGCGCAAAGGACGATCAAGGTCTTGTGAGCAATGGTGGTGCAAAACACGCCAGTCCTCGCACTCACGATCCCAAAGTAGTATATGAAATCGGTAGGATGATTGTTTTGGTCCGTCGACCTAAAGCCTCCTTCGTCTTGGTAAAAGTGGAATTGCTGCAGGTGCATCTGATTGACCGCCTCCCTCTCTTCAAGCAGCGGCACCGCGCCATCCGATCCACTGGTCAAAGCCTTCGGATCCGATCGCCTCACTGCGGCCCTAAGCGCATGCGCTTCTTCCTTGGCATGAGCCGCGCTCGTCGCGCTCGTGCGTTTCGTTACGGCCCTGTTCAGTGGATGCACCGGCAAAGGCGAGGTGGATGAGATGGGAACAGAGTTCGAGCGTGTAGGGCTGGGTGAGTCAGAGGGGCTGGGCTGCGAGACGAGCACCTGCGGAGGAGGAGCCGCGGCTTGCGGCTGCCCCTGCACCGTCGAGGTAGAAGGCAGACTCAAAGAGGGCACGGACTCGGCTGCGATGGCAGCAGCGCCAAACGAAGTTTGGTTTTGCGTCTGGGGCGCATGAGCCAGCGCTATCAAGTTTGGCGAAGACTCGTACGTCGAGCTCGACCGCCCGTCGCTCGCAGACGATGACGCCACCTCGGGAGGCATGGGACCGGTGGCGCTGATGGGGCTGGATACTATCATATCCGGCCCAAAGCCCTTCGTTTGAATCTTGCCAATCTGCGCCTGAGCTTCCTTGGCGGTAGCGTTCGGAGCATTGGCCGGCGCGCCTTCCTTATTGCCAGCACCCGCAGTGTCGGGCTGGAACACTTGAAGCGCATCCTGCCTCAGGTTTTCCCTGTTGCCCCTCTTCATATCGTGCAGACCAATCAGCAAGGAGTAGTCCATGATGCGCAGCTTTTGCAGCAGCTTGACGTCGCTTTCCAGTTGCTCTTCGAGCATCTTTTTCTTGATAGGACCAAGCTCCAGCTCTCTGCCCCGATGAATCCAATTCAGGTCCTTTAGCACCGCGCCCTTTTTCTCTGCCGCTTTTGCTTCCGGATACTCTCGCCCGATGGCGCTTCCCTTGAGATCGTACGTCTCGTGCACATCGCGATGCGGGGGAAAGAGATTGTTCATGATGACAAAGTGGATCTTGCGACCTCGTGGCAGCTTGACTCGATGCAAGCCGTAGAACCTCGAGAGTAGCGTGTGCGGATTGCTCTTGATGTGCGCGTGGTATTCCTGCAGTATCCTCAGCAAAAACTTGTGTTCTCCATGCCGGATCGTCTTGATGATGAATCTGTAATCTCTCGAAAAGTAAAAAAAGGAGCCGCTCTTGCCTGGCGAACCTAGCTCGGAGAGAATGTACTTGGCGGTGAGCGACAAGAGGTAGTCGGCTGGGTCCAGGTGGAAGTACTCTCGCAGATCCCTGAAAACCCAGGGAGCGTAATCTTTGAACTTGAAGTCGTACTTGGCAGACGGTGTCAGCTCGTTGCCGATAATGTCGAACGTGAACTTGTGCCTGGCTGAAAAGTCCGCTTCGGTAAGGGGTCGAGCGGGTTTAGCTTGGCACCTCGACACCCCGATTCGAATGCCCGTGAGCATATTGTACATGAGGACGTAATTTGCATGTCCTTCTCCGATGATATTTCCCACCAGTGCTCGAGGTTCGTCCGCTCCTCCAACGCTAGAGTGTCCAAGCGTGTCGCGCCTAGCGTTGCTTTTTCGTCGCATCAGAGGGCCACCGCCTTCCGGTGTGCCTTCCTCATCGCCGACTCGTTGCTCCGCAGCCTCTCTGGCAGCTCGAGCTCGTTTCTCTCGGTCTTTTCGAATCGCTTCAGCCTGCTTTGCCATCTCTTCGTCCAGCCCTGCATCTCCAGTTCGCAAAGGCGCGCCGCCAGCGGAGTAAGCATTCGAGCCACCAGCGCTGGATGTAGCGTTTGCTGCCCCTTCGTGCGCGCCGTGCGCGCCACTGGTAGATGCAGCGGACACTTCCCTCTCACGTGATGACCGTCGGCTTCGTTGCGTGCCGATGCTGCTGGATGATTGAGGCCGCTTGACTCCCGATCCGGTAGTGTTGCGACGCGAAGCGCCTCGAACCTGACCACTTCTGGTAGCGTTGTTCGCAGCATCAGCAGGCGGCATGAGCATGCCCTCTCCTTGCGTCTTGGAACGCGCTGCCTGAGGGCGATGGTCGGCAGACGACTCGTCGTCCGACGCTGTCATGTAAGCCGTGCTCGCAGCCGAGATTGAGCTTGCGGAGCGTCGCGAGGCATGCAGGTGAGCAGCCGAGATGGGTAGATGAGACTTGGTGCTGGATGAGCTGGCTTGTAGTGGATGGACGTGACGCTGGGCAGATGTGGAAGCGGATGCGGACGCGGAGGCAGACGCAGATGCAGATGCAGATGACGTCTTGAAGGTGCCGGATGAAGCCGGAGCGTTGGCATCCGACCAGCTAGCAAGGGGATGTTCGGGTTGTGTCTTTGGAGAGATGGCTGGACTATGATATGCAAAGCCAAGAGGACCGTCTTGACTGCTGCTGCTATTGTTGATGTGGTCTGCCTCGAGTGGTGGACTGGGAGGCAGCTCGCCGATCATAGGATGAGACCTGGGCGGCGCAGTGAAAGGGTGCACGTATGGCGGTTGTCCGACTTGAGACATTTCTCTGCGGGCACTGCTGTGACTTGCATCCACAGAGTCGCTCTCGCTGAGAGCAGTCACGCCTCCCTGCGAGCCCCGTTTGCCAGCGTTGAGAGCGTATGTGCTGCCTGCTGATTTGTCGCCCATGACGCTCGCCCTCTTGCTCACAATCTGGGGCAGCTGAAGGATGCGACGGCCATGAGATTGAGAGCCACCGGACGAAGAGTGCGACTCTGACAGTGCGGTGGGAGAGTCATCGTCGGCGTTGCGCTGTTCGGGCGCATACACGGCATCGTTGTCCGCTGCTCGTTGGGCCTTTTCGCTGTGCTTGGTGGAAGCATGCTTGGCACCATCTGCCCTTGCCTGCTCGTCGACCAAGTTGCCTCTCTGGTCGCGCACGTGCTGGTGATGAAGAGATGATCCATAAGGCGATGAAGATGATCCGACGTACGGCGAAGAGTGGGACAAGGTCAAATCGTACGTCTCTCCCGTGCCTTCTTCAGCGACCCGCACCACATGATTGCCAGACTCTTCCGCGTCGATGGCAGATCGAATGGACCGCAATGGATCTGGTGTGCCGTGAGTGAGCAGCATATCGCTAGGCCAGACGAGGAGGAGTTGCGTAGGCGTAGGCGTTTGCGCTTGTGTGTGGGTGTGCAAAATGCACTCGTTGTAATCGTTGTGAGGAAAAAAAGTCGGAGCGCAACGTGGATGGCGCAAGACGGATTGTCTGGAAGCGCTGACCTCGTGCGCGAGCGTCTATGTGGGGCGATGATTGCGGGGTCGTCTATGAGATGAGATGGGTGTGGATGTACACAATGTGAATGGGGATGATGGAATGGATCAAGTGACACGTCGCGAGGCAGGAGTGGCTGTGCGTCGCACCGATCGCGCAGCGTCACACAGCGAAAAAGTGACGGGAGTTTGGCTGAGCGAGCGGGTCGGGGTCGTCGCCGCGTCGGTGGCTTAGTGAGCGACGATCACCCGCCCAGCTCACCCGACCCGTGTGCTTGCGTGCTTGCGTGCTTGCGTGCTTGCGTGCGGTGCGGTGCGGTGCGGTGCGCCTTTCATGCGAACAAGGCATATGCGCGCGCGCATACGAATTCACGCTTTCTGCTGCTGATGATGTCCCTCGCTCCCCTCTCGCCCTGCACGCGCGCGGCCCGCATCAGGCGCGGAACGAGGGTGGTGAGTACCGGGACAGTGACGCGTTTAAAATGCACAAAACTTTAACTTTTCACACCAAACCAAACCTCGTGCGCCATGCAGCTTAATTGCACATGCGTCTGCAAACTATTGAATGGTGTATTTGTCGCGTCGCATTGACCATTCAGATTACTTTTCGGGGTTGTGTCTCGCTTTAAGCTCTGCAGTGCTTCTAATTGTGATTTCATCTTTATATGCAACTTCTGCATGATATCGACGACACTCTTGACTGCAGACGTGCCAACTAATCAGTGCAGTCGGCAGCAGCAGGCGGTGCAAGAGCTAGTCAGGCAGCGCTCACAAGTTCGTGCGAGCACCCTCGAAACCGTCTATGCACCCACCGTATGCGGCTCTATATACCACCAACGGATCCCCATCACTCGATTCACGTCATTCAAATTCACCATTGTAAAAGCTCAGGACGTCGAGCTAGGACGCATGCATGGATCGCAGTGAGGGGCGATATGAAAGGGCCCCCCCTTCTTTCGTCGATACAGAGCGGGTCCTCCACGTGAGTTGGTTGATTGCGGGGTCCTGTGCTTGCCTTCACTTGTGCTTGTATGCCTCAGATAGGCGCTCGCTGCTCGCTGCTCGCTGCTCGCTGCTCGCTGCTCGCCAGACTTTTTCGCTCCCTCATCCGAGCGCGAATCAAGTCGTGAGGCTTGGCTCTCAATCGTGGCTTGTCACTCGACAAGCCAGGCAATGACGCTGCAGCTCGAGGTCTACCGCGCCTGTGCTGTGGCGCCGATCGGCGCGCGTTCCTTTCTTTGTGTTGGTGACAGCGTCAATGCTTGGATCAAGAGGAGTCAGTCACGAGTGCTATTTTCGGAAATTGCAGACCGAGACTCTTGACTGGGGATTCGTTGAAAAGTCAAGAGTCTTGATGAGTCTTGGCACGCGGCACGTGTGGGGGAGACGCGTCTTGAGTCAAGAGTCTGATCTGAGTCAAGAGTGTCAAAATCGCGAGCATTCCGCGCTCACGTGCAGAGTTGCGTCTGGGGCTCACGTGATAGTGAGCTGGTAGCATTGTCCCGGCCGAGAGTGCCTCCGTTAACGACCGACGGCGACGGTGGTAAGCCAAAGGGAGTAGCGCTGCTGACAAGGAGCGAACAGATCACCCATGGCAGCACGTACGATGTGCGGTCCGGTCCGACTCTCGACTCTACATCCGCCCTAATACACGACTTTTGACTGCACAAAAGCCAGCTGGGGCTGGGCTGGGCTGACCCATCGTCACCTTTCGCAACAGATTACCGAGAGATGTTGAGATTCCCGAGCGGTAGAGCGAGCGGTACGCGCAGTGGCGACTCGCTTGAGGCGGCATGCGGGCGCGAGTCCCTTGAGCACGCAGGCCGTATGCGGCCCAAATCGAGCGGTCAGGTACGATGCACGCGTTCTGCGGGTCGTGTGTAGCAGAAGCAAAAGGGGAGATCGCTCGCTTGAGCTGATCAGAGCGTCGCTATGGCGTATCCCGGCCGCGCGGTCCTCTTTCGTGTCCAGTGCAGAAGGAAGAAAGAATGCTGACGAGGTTCTGAATATGATTGCTTCATCACAGCCATGTAGCTATACCAGGCAGCAATCACAATGTAGCAGCTATACTCACTCACTCCCTCACACTCGGAGGCGTGCGCGTCGGGACAACTGCATGGTGCATATATGCAGTTCTGATGAGTCGCCTGGCTTCTTAGAGTTCTTGCCCGCCCGCGCGCACACGTAGCCCGCGAGCTCTAATTGAGAGATTGCCGAAGCACAGCTGCTGTTGGTCGGACGTCCGATGATGCATTTCGTGATCATGTTGACGCTTTCGGGTGCTGCTGCTGCTGCTGCTGCTGCTGCTGTTGCTGCTGCTGGGTGGGGTAAAGTGAAAGTTGTGACGATTCGCGCGCAAAGAGAGAGTCACAGTCTGCGCGATGCGTGTCTCAGAGCACGTACGAGCGCATCTGACCGCGGTCCGCGGGGGATGCGATGCGCGAGAAGGAACGATGGAGTTCTGAGTCTCTGAGCTCAGTGCTGCGCTCTTGATGCCACCCCCGCCGCGTACTGTACAGTCATGAGTGACTGCACGTCTGTCTCATCTGGATCAGCGCTCCATCAATGAGGAGGGACTGAAGCGCAGCTAGGCTGGTCAGATCAACAGCACTCGAGCCACGACTGCTGACTGCTGATGCTGACTGCACGCGCGGCATCAGATTCCCGCTCGATGATGGATGCAGCAGCAGGCAGGCATCTACAGTCTGAGTACTGTCAGTGAGTACCATCTTGGCTTTGCATAGCATAGCAACAGCCCCCCGAGTTGGTGAGGTGCGTGAGGTGAGTGGAGGAATCCCGACTGTCCGGCATCGCCATCGGCATTCATTCGCCTTTGCACTCACTCACCCACTCGCACGCACGCCTTTCTAGCCTTCCCCACACATATGCAGGTCCATCTTTGAAAGCATCGCAGTGGCTGCCGACATCTCTCCACAATCATTAGCTTTAGCTACTCGTCACTATCGCAGTCGGGTCGTACGACTTTGTGAGCGCGGGCAGCAAGAGCCCGAAAGGGAAACGGCAGCAGCAGCCGCTACACTCCCTCCGCTCAGCTCGCCTTGAGCATCGCGCGCGGGGCACTTTGCGCAGACGTTGACCCAACTCTATATTCACTTGCCTCTGCACGCCTGCTCGCTGTGCAACTCTGACTCGTCAAGGGTCTATTTGCCAGCTTGACAGCGGCCCACGCTCGCTCGCTCGCTCCAATTCGAGAAGAGATCGATCGACATCTCGACATCTCCACACTCGACAGCACATGTGCAGTCAGAGCACTCCATCCGCATTCACCCATACATAACCTGTCACTCGTCGCAACACAGCCAGCAGAGCTCGTGGGATTGCCGAAGGTGCCTTGCAGCGAACAAGTCCGGAGCCCCGCCCCGCGCCTTTGCTAACCATTGCAACAGCTACTCGCACTCGCACTCGCACTCGCCCTCGCACTCGCACTCGCACTCGCACTCGCACTCGTGAAATGTCCTCAAGTGCCTAGCCTGGCGTGCCGCACTGCACCGCACCGCACCGCACCACCGCACCGCAACGGTACTGCCGCATACAAGCAGTCCATCTTCCTCTCGCATACTCGGGGAATTGCATTGCACATCGCAGATACTTAAAGAGACGTTCCTTCGACAACACTTTCAGCGCGATCCACGTCTCACCCATCCCCCCCATCCCACTCCTTGGCACATTTCGCGCACCTCCATCACCGCACACGTGGCGCACCAGTCATCCTCCTCGTCATCCCCTTCTCACTCATCGACACCACGCGCGTGCGCACACACACACACAGCCACACCCAGGCTCTGTAGACCACATCATGTCTTTTCACTCTTCGGAAGAGAAGGGCGCAAAGGACGCCGCTTCTCCACTCGACACGCACCAACGCGACGCTTCACCTTTGGGCGAAAAGGCGCAATTGGACAAGATGAGCGACGATGTGCCAGTGGAGCATGAAGAATCTCACCCAAAAATTACCGGCATCAGCGTCTTGCTCGGCATCGTCATTGCTTGTGCTGGTTTCCTCTTTGGTGTGAGTGCGTGCGGGTGCGCGCGAGGCGAGGCAGCCCCGCTGATCACACTTTGTTTCCACTCCTTGCGCGCCATCCTGCCCCACGCCCCCGCCCCCGCCTTGCATCGCAGTACGATATCGGTGTGATTAGCGGATGCCTAATCATGGAAGACTTTGTCGTCCGCTTTGGCGGCGGTCAGAACCCTGCCACTGGTAATTGGGAACTGCCAGATGATACTGCGTGAGTGCGCCGGTGCGGCGCAACGCGACGTTCGCTCCTCGTCTCTTCCCGAACCTCTTGTCTCAAACGGCGTGCCGCGTGCTTTCATTGCTTGCCCATGCAGGTCTCTCATCACAGCTACGCTATCCATCGGTACTTTTGTGGGCGCTCTAGCTCAAGCGCCCGTTTCCGACTACTTTGGACGCAAGCCTTCCATGATGATCTGGGCAGGCTTCTTCCTCGTCGGTGCCGTCATTCAGACCGCCACCATGAATGAAGTGGGCCAAATGTACGCCGGTAGACTCATCGCTGGTCTCGGTGTGGGCGCTCTGAGCGGTCTGTGCCCTCTTTACGTGAGTATGTGCTCGTAGCGCCCAGAGACTTGGCGCCGCATTCACCCCGCTCTCTCTCTCTCACACACACGCACAGCTTGCAGAGACTGCTCCAAAGTCCATCAGAGGAGCGATGGTGTCGTGCTACCAGCTCCTCATCATCAGCGGTATCTGCGTGGCCTATGGTGAGCATCCCCGTCGACATGGCCATTATCACTCGACCGCTTTCGCTCACCGCGCTCTGCTGTCCCGCGCCCCCCCACAGCCATCACCTGGGCATCGAACAATCTCAACTACGAAGCAGCCGGCTGGCGCATCCCCGTCGGTTTCCAGATGCTCTGGGGAGTGCTGCTCTTGGTGCTGATGATTCCGCTTCCAGAATCACCTCGCTGGCTGCTCAAGAACGAAAAGCCAGCACAGTGCAGAACGGTCATGGCTCGTATGCGCGGTGCCAAGCTCACCGACACTACCAATGGATCTCGCGGAGATGCGCAGCTGGAACACGACCTCGTCGATATGCAGCAGGGCATCGAGGCCGAGAATCAAGCGTTTAAGGGTTACAATTATGTTACCGGTTACGTGCTCTGCTTTGCCAAACAAGGCCAAATGTGGAGAAGAACCTTGACGGCCATCATGCTGCAGATCTTGCAGCAACTCAACGGTCAAAATGTGAGTAGCCCTCGCGCGCGCGTGCGCAGGTCGTACTCGCTCGGCATGCAGCGCTCGCGCCACTCACACCTTGCTCTCCTCTCCTCGCCTTTGCAGTACTACTACTACTACGGCCCGACTTTCTTCAGCAAGGCCAACATCCAACTGCAACCCTTGCAGATCCAATTCTTGTTCGGCGCCATCTCTCTCGTCTGCACCGTCCCCGCGCTCTACCTGGTGGAGAAGATGGGCAGGAGAAAATCGCTCATCTATGGTGCCATCTTTGAAGCCATTTGCGCTTACATTGTCGCCTTTGTGGGAAAAAACGCTTTGGCGCCGGACGGTGTTACGCCCAACGCTTCGGAAAAGGCCGCTGGCAACGCCTTTGTCGCATTTGCCGTGCTCCACTTGGCCGCGTACAGCATGTTC